TGTAATCTTCGAGATGTCATTCCCCAGTATTTCCCCATAATTAATACTTCTAGTACTCCTCTAATTGAACTTGGTCTAGGAAGCAACAATTTGACTACTTCTGCATTCCTGTGGTTGTTCAACTTTAGCAACAGCCTTGTTAGTCTCGACTTGAGTTCTAATCAATTTCGAGGTCCAATTCCAGAAACTTTTACTCAAATGACTCTTCTGGAAGAGTTATATCTCGATGATAATCAGTTTGAGGGGGAGATTCCAAAATCCTTTTGGAGTGGTAACTTGTCATCATTGCGATACTTGGTTCTTTCAAACAATAAACTGAGTGGTAATATAACCAAAAGTATCGGATTGCTGTCAAAGCTTGAGGTCTTCCATATTTCTTTCAATTCTTTTAATGGGGTGATCACTGAGGAACACTTCTCAACACTATCTAATTTATGGTACTTGGGCATGTCTTCTAGTAATCTGAGCATCAACTTCAGCCATGACTGGATTCCTCCATTCCAGCTGGAATATATTAGTCTTGGGTCTTGCAAATTGGGCCCTGATTTTCCAAGCTGGTTACAGACCCAAAGGAATTATCGGGTTCTTAATATTTCTGCAACTGGAATTTCAAATAGCATCCCCATCTGGTTCGGCAAGCTGCCTTCTATGGCACGAGTTATAGATCTTTCTTCCAACCAAGTCAGTGGAATTCTTCCAAATTTGTCAAGGAATTTTTCATCTGATTCTTATGCCCTTGGGATAAATTTAAGTGGGAATCATTTGGAGGGTCCTTTACCGTCATTTCCTGCTAATACCACGCACATAAACCTCTCAAAAAATAGGTTTAATGGGTCAATTTCTTCTCTCTGTGCTATGACTAGTATGTCTCTTGAGTTCCTCGATCTTTCAAGCAATCAACTATCTGGAGAGCTTCCTGATTGTATGATGCATTGGTCAAGTCTGCAAATTTTGACTTTGGCTAACAATCATTTCTTTGGAAAAATTTCAAGCTTTGTGGGATCTCTCTCTTTGATTGAAACGCTTGATTTGCAAAACAACAACCTTTCTGGGAAAATTCCTAACTCTTTAAGGAATTGCAATAAATTGCAATTTCTGGGTTTGAGTAATAATAAATTGTCTGGAAAAATACCAGGTTGGATTGGAGACAAGTCAAAATCACTAAATTTCCTCCTCCTAAAATCCAATCATTTTGTTGGAGAAATCCCATTGGAGATATGCCGATTAACAAATATTTTGTTGCTAGACCTCTCCTGCAACAATCTTTCCGGAGACATACCATGGTGCATTGGTAATCTGATTGCTTTGGCCAGAAAAGACATTTCAGCCAAACATCATTTCTTTAACTCTTCACTTGTTAGTAATAGCTATTATGATTTTGATGGAAGCTATGCTGACAAAGCATCTATCATATGGAAAGGAATAGAATATCGTTATGAAAATCTCACACTTCAGAGGACCATTGATCTTTCAAGCAACAAATTAACTGGAGAAACTCCTTTGCAAATTGCAAGTTTTTCTGAACTACATCAATTGAACTTATCTAGAAACCATTTGACTGGAAGGATTCCACTAGATATTGGGCAAATGAGACAATTGGAATCACTAGATCTTTCACACAACAGGCTTTCAAGCTGGCTTCCTCCAAGCATGGCCCAGTTATATTCTCTCAGTACATTGGACCTGTCATATAACAACTTTTCTGGGAGAATTCCATCTAGCACTCAATTGCAGAGCCTTCCTACTTCTGCATTTGTTGGTAATCCTGCACTCTGTGGACCTCCTCTCCCAAAAACATGTGCCACTGATGAAAAGCCTGTGGATGGTGGTGTCAAATACAATCAACAAGATGAAGATGAATTATGGAATGGGTTCAAACCCAGTATGGAAGTTGGAATGGCTTTTGGCTTTCTGGGAGTTCTGGCTATCAAATTAGATGATCCCTGGAAAAATATTTGTTTCCTGGTGTTCAACTACATGAAGTTTCACCTCAGCAACTTGAAGGACTACCTCCTTTCGATTGTGGCAGCACTTTGTTTGGTGATAACAGTGAGTGCTGCTAGATTGCGAAGAAAGTTGAAGTTTTAGGAGCCATCCGGGGGTAGGTATGTTTTTAGTTTGTTTACGACTTTTATGTCATCTTGTTCAATTGCATTATTTAATTGGAAAATAACAGAGGAGAGAACCTTTGATTGTTGTTTTTAGGTACAAGATGCTTCCTCAGGGACTTCAAGGACTGCTCTTGAGAGATGAAATCCCAGGGGCCAGGGCTTCTTTTTCAGGCTACCACGTTCGTCAGAGCAACCTTTTTTATTTCCTTTGTGTGTGATAAATTATAATTTGTTTCATGTTTTACGGTTTTATGTATGTATAATTAATTTCATTATCTAGTTTGTAAGGAATGAAAAACAAGTTATGTGCAATTAAAATAAGATAAAAAATCTGAATTGTGGAAGCCTTTAATTCAGCAACTCAGCAACCTCGATGCTTTATGTTAATCTAGTTTAAATTTTCATGTGCATTATATTTTCAAATTTGAATTAATAATCTCGTACTATATACTTTACCATTAAATTTTTCTGTTATTATTTATGTTAATTCAAATAATTTCAATTTTAATTTTGATTAGCCCAATGCTTATTGTAGGCACATACAATAGTCAGTAGGACTAAAACATTCCATGTGGTCCATCTTCAATTTTTTTTTTTTATAAAAAAACATTACATATGATCCCAACTCCCAAGACATTAGTAATACTAATCAAATTATTCTGTTTTATTAAGAAAAATCAATATCTTATTTACAATTGAACCTCTAAAATGTTTTTTGAGTTTGATTACAAAAAAAAATTACTTCATATTGTTAATACTGATAAACATGCTTCTCAAGCTCAGTTTGATAAAATATTTTCATGGTTTGGACTGAAAAAAATCAAGCTCATTATTACATTTATTTTACCTCTTTTCTTTTTCGTTTTGCTTTTCTCCTAAATAAGCTAAACCGAAACAATTTTTTATTTTAATCTCAATAAATGAGAAGATGATTTCAGCTGGAAATCATGGGATTAACGGCTTAACCAGTACAGTGGCAATTTCGTAATTAGCGAAAAACCCCAATAGATCCTTCCCCAGAAAATTGTCCATCTTCTTCTTCGATCACTACACAACCGTCACTCTACACTCTTCCAAACTCTTTCTCAGACATAGCCATGGCGGATTCAAAGTCTCCGTCAGCAGCAGCGAAGCATCATTCACTGACAAAAGCAGAGGCCAAGGCAATCTCTTCACTGTTCACCACACGGGGAACGATGGTGTTTGCCTATGGCGTCACATTTGCTTTTGTTGCTTGTACGGCTTTCTTGGTGCTAAATCCATCTTCCAATTCCTCTCCTTGGATAAAAAACTTCCTCAAGTCGTCGTCTTCCAGCTCCCGGTTTTCCTCTCTTTTCTCTTCTTTTGTTTCTAATTTTTCCCAAACCGATGGCAACCCACTTCCTTTCACTTACCCACCGGCCGGCCCTTTTTGGGTTTCTTGGGAAAGCAGTGGATTTGGTGACAAAAATGGGTCTTTGTCCGGTGATGGAGAAAGTCGAGTGTCGGAGGATGTTCGGGCATTCAATCAAACGGGTACTTTACTCTTCACTCCGACTGTTTCTTTCTCTCAAGAATCTAATGGCACATCAAAAGGTTTAGTAATTCAATTTTCCAGTAGCCCATCAAAGAATGAGAGTTGGGATGCTAATGTAACAAGAGATCCAGGTGGTTCTCAGTCTTTCTCAGATAATGCTGGTGATTACCGATTGGCTTTAAAAGGAGAAGATGGAAAGGAATCAAAGGATGTGTTGGATTTGGAAATGAATGTTACAGGGGAAGGGGTTTTAGGTAAGGGGCGAGAGTCTAGCAATGTGACACTGGAATCAAATGAAATGGATGGATTTGGAAGTGTTGATGACATTTTTAGTAAGCATAGAAATGGAGATCTTAAGCATATAGACTTAATGAACCATTGTAACATATTTGATGGGAAGTGGATGAGAGATGATTCTTGTCCAATTTATGCACCAGGGTCTTGTCCTCATATTGATGAGCCTTTCAATTGTTATCTTAATGGTAGACCTGACCGAGGCTATGAGAAGTATAGATGGCAACCCAAAGATTGCAATATACCAAGGTAACTTGCTCAGTTTGTTGATTAATACATACATACATACATACATATATATATATATATGCAAATAAATTATGCCAATCTATTTAATCACAAACTTCTACTGCTACTGAGGTAGTAGACTTTGTTTGGGGTTTAGGTTTATGCTTGTGTTGACTATTATAGGAGTAATTATTTTGTTGCTAATCAGTTTTGCGAGCAAAAATAAAATGCTTGCCACGCACACCAATGGACTAGTGTTGAAAATTTGTTTACAAGCACATTGTATGCAGAAACTTCGATGGTTGTTTACTCTATCTCCATGTTGATTTTCTTTTTGGTCAAAATTTCACATTCTGGACTTTTTTTTGAATGAGATTGTCACCCCTGATTGTTATGTGTGCTTTATGTAGACTCTGGTTAGGCTATTAGTGTAACTGGCTCATATGGACCCATGCAGGTTGAATGGTAGGCATATGCTGGAATTGTTGAGAGGAAAGCGTGTAGTTTTTGTTGGTGATTCTCTAAACAGAAATATGTGGGAGTCTCTTGTGTGCATCCTTCATAGCTCAGTGGGAGACAAAAGTAGAGTTTTTGAAGCCTCTGGCAGAAATGAATTTCGAACAGATGGCTCTTATTCTTTCAAGTTTGAAGTATATGTTCCAAATTCTTCTCATTGATTTGGATTTCATAGTCTTGATATAATCTTCTTTTCCTTGCCAAGGAAAACTCTTTCCATAGTTGACCTTGTTTTGCTTATTGTTTGTTAATAATGGATGGATGGATTAACAGGATTACAACTGTTCAGTGGAGTACTTTTGATCACCATTTCTGGTTCAAGAAGGTGAAATGTCTGGAAAAAATGGATTGATGAAGGAAACTCTTCACCTTGATATGATTGAGAAATCATCTGATAAGTACAAAAGTGCTGATATTCTCATCTTCAACACAGGGCACTGGTGGACTCATGAGAAAACTTCGAAAGGGTACGGTTTATGCTGCCTGTCTATTTCCAAAGAATTTTATGTAGATAAATTATAAAAGTTTAAGAAATTTGCAGGAAAGGTTACTATCAAGAGGGTAGCATAATTTATGATCAATTGAATGTCAAAGTGGCATTTCGGAAAGCTTTGACCACATGGGCAAGATGGATAGATGCTAATATAGATCCTATGAAGACCCTTGTTTTCTTCAGGGGATATTCTGCTTCCCACTTTAGGTAAATGGAATACTGAAGGCTCTTTAAGTTAAAAAACGTTGACAACAGAAGAGAGAATCTTAAGTAATTCTGCTTGCGTACAGGGGTGGAAGATGGAATTCTGGAGGTCAATGCCACAGTGAGACTGAACCTTCAGAGAATGAGATATACTCAAAAAAGTATTCATCAAAAATGAGAATTTTAGAATCAGTAATCAATGGGATGAATACATCCGTGCTTTATCTGAATATTACCAGAATGACTGGTTTCCGGAAGGATGCTCACCC